CCAAAGTGTGTTCGTGAACCTTCGTGCTGCTAGCACTGTTGTTCATTGTGTAACATTAGGAAGAATTACGGGATGATGGAAGGAAGGGTTCCCTGGCTGCTAAGTTTGGGTAAGACAAGTAAAATAGTTTCTTTACTGCTCTTAAACCTTTGACACTTAGCTTAAGTGTCTGAAATGCTGTTATCCTCCGTTGTAAAGTAATATTCGCATGCTTTAGATTCCACATTGCAGGCATCAGAACAGACTGTCTGTTTTGTAAATCCAGGAGCCAGGAGCCTACGTTTTAGCTTAAACAGAAGCCCATTTTCAGAGTGCCTATGGAGAGACTGGACTTTTCAATAGGGACTTAAAATCTGTTGAAGCTGACCCAGACTCTGGAATTCTGTGCTACTTGCATGGAAGAGTCCATTCTAGTCTGTAACTATTAGGGCAAATTGTTACCAATTTACCTCCTCAACCATAATCATATCAAAACCTGGCCCCTGGGGTAGACCTGGTTTTGTTTAGGATCTTGATGCATAATTTAGCTGCAGACAGTATCATTGTTCAACGTCCCCAAGTTGTTTCAAGTGTCGAACAGGGTTATTCACTTTTATCCATTTAAGTTTGGAGAAGTTTTGCTCAATCCATGGACTTCTGTTTTAGCTCACTTGGCATCCACCTCTTCTTTTTAACGACAGGCCAGCAGATGAGTCACGGCTATTCTCTGTTTGAATGGCAAAGGAGGGGCGTGCCAAGCAGGCATGAAGCGAACTCACCCAATAGGCTTATCAGGTTATTTAAATGTAAGTTAAAAAGAAGAGAGGCGGGCACAGTTCTGCTCTCCACTATTTAGAACTGGACTTGGATCCTTCAAAAAGCTATTTTTAATTATTTTGATGCTGGCAGAAACATTCTGGTACAGATTTTGAAGGCCCAGTAAGCATAAGTACAGGGCAATGTCAGGGGAAATGGCAGTTTTAATCTTCAAGAATTTATGAACCAGGGGCTGGCCCCGTGGCTGAATGGTTAAGTTCGTGCGCTCTGCTTCACGGGCCCAGGGTTTCGCTGGTTTGGATCCTGTGTGCTGGGGCGGCGTCCCACATAGCACAACCAGAAGGACATACAACTAGAATATACAACTATGTACTGGGGGGGCTTTGGGGAGAAGAAGAAAAAGAAAAAAAGTCATAGCATGACTTAAAGAGAGCTTGCACGAGAAGTAGAATGCCAATCTTTAAAAAAGAAAAAAAAAGAGTTTACGAACTAAATAGGTAGATTCCCCATGGTCTGAAGACCTTCCAAACATCTTTTGGTCTTATACCATTATCATTATCAGTAAAAATGTTTTGTGCACAGATTCCCAGTGAAAGTATATTAGTTCATTAATTAACAATGTACAGGTACTGTAAACTAATATGTGAGGTATATTATAAACACATAAATTAAAATTAAGCAAGTTAAAGATAATTATAAAGTACGTTTTAATTTTAAACACTAGTAATGAAATCTTCACGTATTTATTAGCTAATAATAGTGTTGCTTGACAGGCAACACAAAGGGTGCAATTCATCATTAAGGATAGTGTGTGGAAAGCCACATTTGAAACGGTCTACTTAGATAATTCACATTTTTTTGTTGTTGACTTCTGGGCTAATCTCACGAGAATTACCATTGTTTTTATTTCATAGCATGATTTACAGAGAGCTTGCACGAGAAGTAGAATGGCCAGCTTGACGATTTTCTTTTCTGGGGCTTCTGCTTGTGTTGTTAGTATTACCTACAATTCGCGATTCTCACTGGAAACTTTTTAAGCCATTTATCAAGTACATCATAATAAATCTTTTGAAAGCAAATGTCTCTGAGAGGGTAATGCATTCAGCTGTTAATTTCCAGTTGAGTCTGTCAGAATAGTAAGCCTGCCACCTTCAAGGCCTGAGAAACCAGCCTATCAGTTATTCGAGGGGCAGAGTTCTTTGTATGCTCCTCAGTTCTCAGCAGAGCATCTTAAACCCTAGTCGTTCCGCTCAGTTTGTACCGAATGAGTAGGCAGGCACTGCGTTTTGATCGCGCGCAGTTGGAGGCCGGGAGTGTAAGAGGGTCTAGGCTGCCGTTCAGCCAGGAGGGCACGGCGGGCTGCCTCAGAGAGGGAGGAGGGCACGGCGGGCTGCCTCAGAGAGCCAGGAGGGCACGGCGGGCTGCCTCAGAGAGGGAGGGGGCCAGGGGGCTGCTGGTGGCGAGAGGAGACTCCGTGAGGGGGAGAGAGAAGAGTAAATGTCCAAAATCCAAAAGGGAGGAAAGGCTAGATTCTGGAAGATGCTCATTCCCTGAAAAAGTCTAGAATACATTATTAAAGAGTTATTTTAAAATTGCGTTTCGTTTTGTTTCGAGGATGTTCTAGAAATCAGGCTGGTGAGCACAAAGAGCAAGCGTCGGCGGCAAGTTACATTAGAACAAGCGTCTCCCCTTGATCGAGGTGGAGGACCCGGAACATACCTAGACACAGTGTCCCATTATACACTTGGAGGAAAAGATGGCAGGTTGACAGCCTCGGCGGATTTGAAACTATTACTGTCTGTGGCTGCGGTGAGCGTCTAGAAGGAAGTCCGCTTTGCTCGTTCGCCCCCTGGAAGAACGATGACCGCGAGCGCGCCTGCACGGGCCGCGGGAGCGCCCCGGACGCGCTGTCAGCGGCGGGCGGACCCCTGGCGGGGCACGGTCACGGCCAGTCCGGCGCAGGCCGAGGGTCCTCCGGGACGAGGCTCCGAGCGCGCGAGGAGGCGCGGGCGGCGTAGGGGTGGCGGCGGGGCGCGCGGGGAGACCCGAGAAGGCGCGGCTCGCGGGCGGTTGCAGGTGGCGCTGGTGTGGGGCCACCTTCCCCTCTGTGGGGACGACGGGGTCGTCCTCAGGCGGATATTAAGCATGTGGAGCAGTACAGAAGGGGTGCACTGTACGACCCCCCAGGGCGGGACTAGCGCGCCAAGCCAGCAGTGAGTCCCTGAGCCACAGCCCGGGAGGACCCAGCCTTCCAGTCTCCCCTCCCCAGCCCTCTGGTGGCCAAAGGCACGTGTTTGCAAAGAGACTGACCAGAGCATGCTCCACCTACCTACTTAGTTCCAAACTAACAAGTGGTGACCCTAGGAGTTACTCCAAGCCGCTTTATGAGAATTCGCTAGTTTAGGCTAGGGAGAGTCCGCACCAACAACCATCCCACAGGGATCCGCCTCCTAGAGCCTGCTCTGGGCACCCCACCCACACCAGTGCCCAAGTCAGCAGGCACCACAGAGGCGTCCATCAGTGTCCCTCCTCCCCCTGCCCCTCTCAGGCCTCTGCCAGCGCCTGGCCTCTGGATGACGCTCACACGTTGCTTCCCTGTCCGGCCCGCTTCAGGGCCCAGGAGGTGAAACGTTTGCAGAGCGTCCAAGAATAGTAATTCACCCACCGCGTTTTTCCTCTCCAGTTCTCACCCACTTAAATCCAAAGCAGAAAACACTCTTTTGCGCCTTGCTCTACTCTTGAGTTTTATAAAAACAGCTTCGAGCCCAAGGAAGGGCCAGAGAATAGAAAACTCTTTCGTGGTTCAGCCTATCCTGGTGTCCTGATGCCTGAGTTGACCAAGGTCACCGTGCCATGCTTCCTGCAGGGGAGGAGATCCTGGCCAGGGCTGCCCAGCCTTTAAGTCAGCTTGATAACTGTGTAACTATCCTTTGCTGAGGGGACAGAGTAGAACCAGTGGATTTTCCCATAAGAGCTGCAGTGCTTCCCGTTTCCTGTTTCAGGGTTAACTTAACCAATACCAATCTCCTGTTTTCAGCATTTTCTTCCTGCCGGCTCTGATGCAAACAGCTCTTCCAGGCTCCACGTTACCCCCATCAGTTCAATCCTCTGCACTCATGCAGAACTCAGGGGTATGAGGGAAACGCCCGAGAGTCATTTGGCTGTGGGCTGAAACTCTGCTTAAAGACAGAAAGGGTGAGATATCTTATACATGTGATACTCATCTCAACTACATACTCCAGTAGGGTGCGGTGACATGGGAAAGAGTCTCAAGCACTTTTCTGGACTCTTTGTATTTTGCTGTATATAAGTTCTTTCCAGCTCTAAATCACTGAGATACAGAACTTGGAACGGTATTTGCCATTGTTAAAAACAAGACAACAGGCTTAAAATGCAGTCACTTATGCTAAGCCCCATGTCACCAAACCAAGACTGAACACGGTTTCTGCCTCTCCTAGATATGGAATCTTAAACCAGTCAGTCAGGAAGCACCTGGTCAGCACTAGTGAGGTCATCTGCCTGATGCTGTCCATCCCCTAAAGGAAGGTGACCTTGCCACAACAGATCTGCTCTTTGCCAGGATAACTTCCTTGTTCTGCTCCTTCTGCCTATACAAGTCTTCATTTTGTCCAGCTCCTCAGAGCTCCTTTCCATCTGCTGGATGGGATGCCGCTTGATTCATGAATCATTGAATAAAGCTGATAAGATCTTTAAAACTCACTCAGTTGCATGGTGTTTTTTTTATCACCATGCTTTATGAAGAGGCAGCTTTGAGTCGGGGTTCAGAGCCACCTGCACAGGGGACCCTTTTCCAACCCTCATTCCCTCACCTGTAGAACGGGGCCAACACACACCTCCCAGAAATGTTCAGCACAGGGCCTGGTGGGTCAATGTAGCCGCTATTGTGTCTTTTATGGAATAGAAACCTCTACTAAACATACTTTAATATATGATGCAAAAGAGGTGTCGTTGGTGATATGTACAGCTCAAAGATCTGTGTGTCAAGTGGTAGCAGTTATGTTATACATGAAAGTGGTCTTATCAGTTTGTGAATGACTTCAGAAAGAAATGCTCTCTCTTACTGAAATCCCATCTGTAAATGGAAACACATTTATGTGCAGTCATTTAAACATGGTTAACGAACTCGATAGAGGCCATTTTGGGGACAAGGACAATTGCATGTTTATAGTCTTGTTTTTTTACTTTAGGACAAAAGCTAGCTATGCTTTCAAATATATACTTATTACTTTTGTTAAATGAACAGAAGTCAGTATTAGAATAGAAAATATAAAATCAAAGCCTTGAGCGAGGAGAATATTTTTTTGATTCATTTTATTGACCTACTGATTTTAAGGACAACATTTCCACTGTCATAAAAAGGGGCATAGTTGATATTTGAAAATGGCCAAAGGGCTATTAAAACCATGACTGATAGATTATCCGTTCTAGGGAATCTTTCAAAGAGGATAAAAAATTTCACACCGGTTGAGTGATTGTATAACAGTCATGTCCAGGATCCTTCCCAACTCTAGAATGTTCTCTGTCTCTTTGTTTCCATGAGATAAGACAGGGGTAAATTTAAGATAACTTTCAAATGGTTTATTCCAGGAATATCAGTCTATATTACTTTTCAATGCAAAACACTTCCTAACCAAATAGTTGTTCTAAAATTGGCTAACATTTTGGTGGAGAAGTTTAGGAGGAGGGAATGTGTGAACAATTTTGAATGTGAGAATTGGCCCACACAGGAGAAATGACATAACAATAACAAATAGTTGTGCCCATATGCCCTTCCTGTGAGAAATTGCACTGGCTAATTTTGACGATAACAAAGCCTGAGTGAAAACAACTACACTTTCTCCAGTGTGAGATGGGGGAGCAAGGTGAGGACGAGGCAATCATCTCAAAAACTGTCAGCAGCAGTTTCCAGTCTCTCCCTGCAGACATGGAGGAATAAAGACCGTCAATATTCATAACAGGAACGCAGTAAGGATGACAAAGAGAAAAGCCACTTTTGCAGCAATAAAGCTTTGGTCAATGCTAAGGGAAATGTACAGTCTGCCTTCATTAAACCCTGCCACTTTCCCCTAGCCTCTCCTTCCCTGCTCATCGCTTTATGGTCATTTACGCATTGCCTCGCATCGCTTAACAACGGGGAGACGGTCTGAGAAACATGTCAGCAGGTGAGTCCTTCGTTGTGTGAAGATCATAGAGTGTACTTACACAAACCTAGATGGTATCGCCCAGCACACACCTAGACCGCATGCTACTAACCCTGTAGGACCACTGTCTTGTATGGAGTCCATCATTAACCAAAAAGTCATTATGCAGCGCATGACTGTACTACATATTTTTCGTTTCTGAAAGTTCTATTTGGTACTTTTTCAAATCTGCCCCCACCTTATTATTTTAAAATAGGATTTTGCTCTTTTTTTTAGAAATTTGATTTTTTTTAAAAAAGCTTGGCAACTGAGCCAACAACTGTTGCCAGTCTTCTCTTTTTTTCTTTCTTCTCCCCAAAGCCCCTCAGGATATAGTTGTATATTCTAGTTCTGGGTGCCTCTGGTGGTGGCATGTGGGACGCCGCCTCAGCATAGCCTGGCGAGCAGTGCTACTTCCGTGCCCAGGATCCAACCGCCGAAACCCCGGGCCGCCAAAGCAGAGTGCGAGAACTTAACCACTCAGCCATGGGGCCGGCCCCAAGAAATTTGATTTTTTTTCCCTGTGCTTTTACGTGCTTCACCATACTTTTACATTCTCTTTCATATTGCCATTCTTTATCTCAAATGCTTAGGACTCTAATTTTGCTGTGCATTCTGTTTCCTGATTTTCACTCAACATTGGCTGTTTCTTCATGTGTTTTGTCATTTTTGTTGATGAGCTTGTGCTTCGTGGGGCTTGCTTCCTCCATGAGAATCTCTTGGGGCTTCATTGTGAAAGTCCTCGCAGATCAGTTTTGCAACCAATTTTATGATAATATCGTGGCTTGGGGATACTAGGCTGACGTAAATTCCAGCTCCACCTCCGCTGGAAGAGAGGCCTGAGTTCGCAGGTAAACCTTCCCACAGCGCCTCCAGCAGATGAACTCCCTTCCAACAGCCTGTGTCAGAGACTGAGATTTTTCTTGCCCACTCCGCTACGTGAGGAAGAGTTTTGGAAATAAATACTATTGTGTTTGGGCTGTGTTCTCAGTTCCAGTGACCCTCCTTGTGAGCATTCAAAGTCTTTTCTTCTCTTCAAGCTCTGGGGGATTGGGACCACCCTTCTCCCCGGGGCAGCCGCAGCATCAGCTCAGACACGATGTGCCAGTTTTCAGCTCCCTCCTAGTTTATGGCACCTGGGAATTGTCCTTCCCACCGTGCCTCCCACTTCCTTCTGTTTAAAGCTCAGCCTTCATTAAACAGTTGCTCTGTTTTAGCACTCTAAGTCAGCCACATTGCCAGAAAGAGAAATCATTACCGGTACAATTGATAAACTGTCAGTGTGTGTGATTGTCTCTGCTTATCAGGGGTGATTGGATTGACAGGCCGAGCTGCTGGTGTTTTCACACCGTGTTTGTATCCCCCCATGCTGTGTATGCGGCATATCTGTATCCACACAGCCAGGCCTAGATGCCGGTCCATAAGCAAACTTGTGGGGAGTGAGAGGATGCCCGCCAGAGAGAGCGGGCGCTGCAGCAGTCAGGGCGTGTGCTCTGGCGTCCTCTGCCTCGGGGTCTCAGCCCAGCTCTGGCACTGAGCTCGCTGTGGGTTGTGGGCGGGCTGTTCTCTGAACTTCAGTCTTCCCGGACATAAAGGTGGGACGATAATACCTGCCTTACCTGATCATAGTCAGGATTAAATGAGATGCTGAAATAAAGCGCTTAGAATGGGCAGTGCCTGGCACAGAGCCACTGCTGCCAATAAATGGGAAGTATTCTTGCCGTCATCCCGTCGCCTACCTGGAGACTAAGAACAGTGATAAAACCATTTCTGAGCTTGCCAGAGCCTCAGTTTTAGAGTCCAGCTTCCTGACTCTCCTCCTTTTTATCTGTCATCTCAGTCATCCCAGGTGAGTAAGTACGGAGAACGAGGAAACTGCAGAGTGAGGAGCTTCAGAGCCTGGGGGCCAAATCCAGCTTTGCTGCTTGCTGGCCACAGGCATGTGACAGCCTCTCCAAGACTCATTTTCCTTGCTGTAAAATGGGGATAAGAACACCTTGCTTATGGGGTGATTGTGCAGGATGAATACGGAAACGCCCGCACAGAGTGGCACGTGGTGGCCGTCAGTTTTCCATCAAGTCTGGGTCCGGGCACCAGGACGGCGAACTCTCTGCAGTCCGGGCCTGTGCATTCCTTCACGAGTTCAGCATTCACCGCAACGCCTGGTCAGCGAACGCTGGACTGAATGGAATGAATGAAACCGGGAAAGAGAAATGAGACACTGCAGGGTAGGAAACAGTGGCAAAGGCTGCAGGAAGTGACTCCATAGGTGGCCACAGGAAGTCAGAGCCCGAGTGTTCATAGTTTGCTGTGTGTGTGTGTGTCTGAGAATGGGACATTGTCTCCATCTTTTCTTATCTTTCCACAGTGCCAGAGCAGGCCCTGCTCGAGGTCCTGCTGGAGCCCTGTCTCCGGGCCCGGCCGCAGCAGGTGGAAAGGGAGTGGAGTCACTCTTAGCTGAAGCAGGAAGAGGTATGTGCTCTGTTTCTTCCTGAGGAGCTGGCAAAGGGCATGGAGACCTTGAAAGACTGACTTGGTTCTCTTCCTACTTTGCATAAGAATCTTGAACTTGACATTTCCGTTTCAACAGGAGGGAAAAATAGAGGAGAATTGCGAGGGATAAATGAATTCTTCCTGCTCAAGTGGCTCAAGAGTTTCACTTGGGTAGTAGATACAACCGTGCACACAAAGCCAGGACAAACTCACTGGGACATTGATCTGGAGCTCCAGAAATAGCTTGCAACATCAATTTGTTGCTCAGTTTCCCCAGTTTCGCAATGTCTGCACCCATCTACTACCTTTTCAATGTTTCCTCTGCTTCCTTCTAACAGGCACCGTGCACCAAGTGTGCCACATCCTCTGTGTTCCCACTCATCCTCCCACCTTCTCCACACCACATGAATTAACACGCCCATTGTTACAGATGGGAAGCTGAGGGCCGGAGAAACTAAGGGATTTGCCCACAGAGGAGGAGACATGCACATGTGGGAGGACTTGGCTCCGAAGATGGCTTTGTCCATTGTCTCACATGGCTTCTGGTTCACTATGTCCTGCTCCTTGTCATCTTGGAAAGCCCAGTGGGGAGGTGTGGTCCAGGCTTTCCTTTTCCTAACAAACTGTGCCAGCTCAGGGAAGTCGCTTCTCCCAGTGGGGCGTGGCTTCTTTGTCTGTGAAATGAAGGTTTAATTAGATGAACTCTGGGGTGTCTTCCCATTTCTTCTATGAGTTTCCTGACCCGAGACTAGGAGAACGCAGACTTCTGCAGGACCGTCTCCTGCGCCTCTTCACCTCACAAACCCTTCCCTGAAAGGCGTGTGAAATGAGCAAGACGGGAAAGTGGTGCGCGGGGCTAGCATTTACGAAGAGCTGATTATGTGCCGGAGTTCTGCTGGGTGCTGTTAGCCAAAATTCCTGATTTTTGTTAGGCCTCATACTAATTTCCTTTAGATTGATTCCTGGTATTTATAAACCCTTCATCATTCCTATGATTTGTTGTCTTTCTACTTCTCTATGTCTAGAATGCTTTCTTTCCGCCTCCTCCCTGCCAGAGAACACAAGCAAGAATAATTTACTTTGGACGGCACCCTGCAAGAGTGCCCTACTATGTTGATGTTTTGGTAGAGAGTTGGAGAGAAGAAGGCAGGACAGGAAGGTTGGTTTAAAAAGAATGAGTATAGGTGCTTTTCTTTGTGAAAGGCTGGAGATGGTTTTCTGACGTCTCATTAGTCTGGACTATTTTGGGGACCTCCAGGGCCGTGAAACCTTGGTTCTTTTTCTGGAAAGGAATAAAAAAGATCTTTTTTGTTTGTTTCTGTGACATCTCAGGAACTTTTTTTGCTGTGTAGGAGTGTCTTGCTCAATACTCACTTCTAACGCTTATTTAAGGGTTCGAATTTGTGGATGACTCATTTTCTCTGGAGGATGCTGGGTGGAGGGGGACCTCAGAGGACTCGGCCCTTGGCCTGTAAGGGCCTGAGAGTGCAATCGGCAATTCAAAGTCCTACCTAAGTGATTTCTCTGACTGGTCTTATAAAAAGCCTTAGAGACTTTAAGAAAATTATAGGAAATTATTTGAGGAGGCCGCATCCACCCCCTCCCTGGGCAATCCTCACAGGGAAGTTGGGACTCTGGAGCCTTCCGAGTTCCCCTTTCATTGAAAGAAATAGGCTGAGGAGCTCTCAGGAGGATGGATGCATAGACCCTCCGGCTCACCAGAATGAAGAACATAGGTAACTCCTAGGCGTAAAGAATTCCATTAATTTCACACCCATTCAAGAGATTTCTCAAAACCTTGCTACTGGATTTGATAAACTCCCAAGTTTCCATGGCTTAGCACAGTTGACGTTCATTTCTCCTGTGAAGTCCAGGCCTGAGGAGGCTTTTCCTGACCTCGCCCTGTGTGTCCACACCCCGCTGAGGGAAGGAGGAAGAGAGAGCAGGAAGGTCCCTCAGGAGGATGCCATGGGCCACTCCTGTCGCCCACTCTTGGTGGCTCAGACTTACTCCTAGGCTCAACTAGCTGCAAGGGGCCTGGGAAATGCAGCTCCTGGCTGGGCAGATGCTCCTAGCCATAGCTCTGCATTGTGAGGGAGAGCGTGGCTGTTTGGACGCTGTCTCTAGCTGTCTCTGCCACTCACCTGCAGCACGCGTGGCGCAGAGCTCCCGGGGGCTTGATGGAGTAGGCGATGACGATGCCCCCTCCCCTCCCTCCTCCTCCCCATTCCCTGTGGACCGCCTTTCCATCCTCTTACTGTTCCCTTCCATCCTTCCTCACCTCCAACACACACACACACACACACACACCTCCCTACCCCTTTTCCTCTGCTCTTGCATGGAGAATCTGCACTACAGGGGCCTTTCATGTAGAAGTTAGACTGAAAGTACCGGTCAAAAGGAATTCAATATACATTCCCTCCCCAAAAAGTGGCTGGGAGCCTGAAGGATATTGGTTCAGGCCTAGCGTTATTGTCTCTAAATTTAGTTGTCATTAGTTACTGCCTTGCCTAGAGACTCAAGGGGACTCCCTGCTGCTGTACCAAGGATGCACTCCTTTGCCTTTTGCTTTAGACCCCTTGTAATACGGCCCTTACTCCCCAGTCCAAGCTTATTTCCCATATCTCTTTGTTCCTCAATGGGGAATAAGTCCTGCCCATGGTGGGGTGTTTACTCACTGCCCTGCTCTGCCTCTGCACTGGATGTTCTTGAAGGCCCTTTCAATCTCCACCCAAGGGTTGAAGCCTCCTGACAGCTCTTGCCCTGATTTGAAATCCCACTTGCTAGGAGTGGTCTTGTAGTTTAACACATTTCCCTCTCCTTGTGTAAGGCCTGTTGCAGTGTCCTTTGTTAGGTTAGACACTCTTAGGCAGAAGAACAAGCCTGACAGCCCTGCTTCTCTCTGCTCAGTGTCCTGCTATTGTCCTGCACCTGTCTTAAAATTTTGCATTTTAACTACGTATTTGCCAGCTTCCTCACTACAGAAAGCTGAATGTATATGTATGCAGTGTCCTATTCACTCAAGAGTGCTATCTGGCTGCGCAGCTCAGTACCTATGGGCTTAGAGTGGGAGTTTCCTGGCTGGGACATGAGGGTGTCTTTTCTGACGGAATGCCAGAATCCATTCCAGCTAGAGCTGGGGACACTTGTTTCTCCTCTTGTCCCCAGAGTGCCTAACAATTGATACAGACTTGCTGCTTACTTATTTAAAATTAAAAACAGCTGCTATTTAAAAAGAAACCTGCTAAAGTTGATTTGGTATCCATCACCGACCAGGTGTTTATTTACTGTGTGTTCACATCTGTCATCTCAATTAAACTTTCAACAGCTCAGTGCCACAGGTGTGATCATCCCCACGCTTCTAAGGAGGTTGAAATTACAGGCCAGTGAGTGGAAGAACCTGGGCTCTGAATCCAAGTCTTCTGACTTCAAAGCCTATGCTTTTTTCTATTGTTCTATTTACTTCACTGATTTTCTATAAAAATCACTGATGTTTCAATCCTGGAACCCTTATAAGTGGGAGCCAAGGGATTGGGAAAGACAGACTGATTTGATAGACCCAAGGTTTAGTGCTGAATCTGTAATTGAGTTCACCGAAGCCGCTAGCCTCTGGAACGTCAGTCTCCCCCTGTCGCCCCCCCCCAACACCTGTGCAAATCAAATCAGACATGCAGAAGAATTGTAAAAGAAAGGCTTTCACTTCTCCTGAGTAATATTTTTTGCTAGAAACTTTTTTTTTATTGGCACCTGAGCTAACAACTGTTGCCAATCTCCTTCTTTTTTTTTTGCTTTTTCTCCCCTAAACCCCGCAGGATGTAGTTGTATGTTTTAGTTGTGGGTCCTTCTAGTTGTGGCATGTGGGACGTTGCCTCAGCATGGCCTGATGAGCGGTGCCATGTCCACTCCCAGGATCTGAACCATAGAAATCCTGGGCCGCCGCAGCAGAGCGTGCGAACTTAACCACTCAGCCACAGGGCCGGCCCCAAAACGTTTTTTTTTTAATAAATATGTTCCAAGGATGAGGAGAAACCAAATTTGAAATCCATTTGTCTGGAGAGCACTTGACCCGAGTTTCTCCAGTGTTGTGCTGTCTTCTACGTAAGTGTGTACTGGTCTCAGTAGACGTCTACACCCGCCTGGAAGTCCAGAGTTCACATGGTGTGCTCCCACGGCTCTGCCTTGTGGGCCAGCCCCAGAGTTTGGGGAGACAGCAGTGAATGAGAGGTCCCAGCAGCAGCAGGAAATGCCCACAGCCTGCATGAGGCCCAGAGATTCACTCCTCTCCCCGATGTTGCGGCGGACACCCGTCCAGAAGGCCACCGGGCCTGCCTTCCTCGGACTCCAGGAGGGCCCACAGGAGAGACTGCTAGTGTTTGCATCATGCTCCCCAGTTTACACAGTGCTTCTTAAGCATGCCTAAGCATTCAGGCTGTGGAATGACCACGTGAGCATGAGTGTTGTGTTGCCCATTTCGCATCTGAGGACTCGGAAGGCCAGATGTTAAATAACTCACCCAAGCTCTCCCAGTAAGTAGCCAAACCCATTCTCAAACCAGCTCCTTGGACGCAGGTCTCGCCCTGCTCAGGACACCTCTGTGTGTCCCAGTGCATCTGTTCAGGGCTGGCACCCTGCACCAAACCATGATTCCCCAAATGTGCTCCCTTCCCAGCCTCTAGGCCCTGGCTCACGCCATCCCTCTGCCTGGAAAATTCTGTCTCCTTCCACCATCTCTGACTGCAGAATCCCAACTTTAAGGCCCGGCTTCAGTGTCAACTTGTCCACAAAGGGTTTCCAGATTCCTCCTGGACTCTTCCCCTGTGTTTCTGAGATCCTTTCCTGTACTTAAAAAAAATAACACTTATCACAATGTGCTGAGTGTTCTAGTTCTGCATTCCTGTCAGCCTCATGGTCTGGAGAGGGCAGACCCAGTGTCTAGAAAAACGCCTTATGTACGTCAGGTTCTCAATGAAAATACTTATCCAGTTGAATTCTTATTATGGACTTACTACCAATTCTTCCTAGGTAACATTTGTTGGCACTTTCCACGTGCCAAGTACTGTCTGAAAGCTTTGTACATCTACCTAGTCCTCATCACCAGCCTGTGAGGTAGGTTCCATCACTGTCCGTGTCTTAGAGATGAGAAAACTGGAGTCGAGGAGGTTAAGTGACTTGTCCAGGGCCATGCAGCTGGTAAGACGCAGAGCTGGGTGTGAACCACCTTCTCCACTGCCTATAAAGCGGGGAACTTGAGACAGGTCCTCGAGCCCTAAGAGCTGTATGTTTATTTCCTTCTACAAGCAAGACCCCTGTGCGAGGCCAGAGAACAGCTTAGAGCATGCGATTGAAGAGCACGCCTAGCCCACCTCCGCCGCCCTTCCCCACTCTCCTCATGCGCCTGACACGAGAAATCTGGAAGACCTGATTTCTTGAAGCATCTACTGCTTATGAAGATGTCGGGGACTGCAGCAAGAAGCAATAACACACTCGACACATTTAACACAACCTAACATCACCTTCTGTGTTGTTGGTTTGGGTGCGGTGGGCATGGCGGGGTAGCTTCTCCAGGCAGGGGTGCTTCTGTCTCATGTGGGCTGTTCTAGAGAGAGGAACAGGAAGTTTGTGCTCTGCCCTGCTAAGGCCATCTCGGCCTGAAATACATGACAGTAATAATAAAGTAATATTTCAATAGCAAACACTTAGGAAGGACTTGCTATGTGTCAAAGCTCTTCTAAAGATTTAATTCTCAGGACATTAAATTACGTTAATTCTCATTTAATTCTCAGAACAACACCACGTGGGTATTGCTATCATCCTCATTCGGCAGAACCAGGAACGAGCGACAGAGGCTCCGTGTTACTGAATCTTTGCTACGTGCCGGTCATCACACTAAGAAAATAACTTGCAATATCTCATCTAATCCTGATGCGACCTGGTGACTTATATATTACTATCCTTTTACCAATGAGGAAACTGAGGCTTGGAGAGCTCGAGGAGCAAGTCCAAAGTGGAACAGCCCGCGTGTGTGGAGCTGGGGCTTTGAGGCCAGGCCCGTGTCCTGCGAGGCCTCCCCAGACCCCGGACACAACACGAGTCGCAGATGCTCATGGTCCTCCGTGCAAACCCTGGGAGGAGAAGGTGACCACGGATAGGACTCGTGTGCCACCTGAACAGTTGTTCCCAAATTCCTCCTGTCTCTCTCCCTGGCTGTGTAGTCCCCACCTTTCATGTTAGGTGTAGGATCCCTCACTTTCTACGACCTCAGAACCTCCTGAAAATGAAAATGATAAACCAACAAGCTTACCGTTTATACAATGCCAGCCACACATTGAAAGCTCAATGCAGTGTTTCTAATTCTACTGGCAGCCCTGCCAAGCGAGTGTTGTTAATCACCTAGTTTTACTGACGGGGAAACTGAGGTGCAGAGTTTAAGTAACTGGCCCAGAGCCCCTGGACCAGGAGGTGGCCGAGCTGGCAGTGAGCCAGGTGCTGGTCTCAGGCTGCAGCTCCTCTGGTGGAAGAGGGGTCCGCAGTGCCCGTGGAGTTTCCATTTGGTCCCAGCCTCATCTGTTGTGAAATGCAAATGCCTCGTTTATTTCTCCATTGCCCTGGGGGAGCATAAGCGTCTGTGGCAGCACAGGCCCTTTGTGCCTCTCTCTGCAGCGGGTTTACCCCTAGGAAAAGCCGAATGCGGGGGCTGTGAGGGTGGACGACCCCCTCTTCCCAAGGTCAGAACGCTTTCCAGTGATCAAGACGGTGCTGGAGAGGACGTCTTTGCGTCAGTTCTCTGACCTTCCTGACGCCGTAGCAGTGCTTAGGAAGTCGGGGCAGGCTGGGAAGCTGGACTGTCCTTGCGTGTGAGTGCTGAGTTACTGTTGTCAACAACACTGGAAGGGAGGAATGCAGGGCGGGGTGGGGCAGGGCAATGACCCGAGGCCCACCTGCGTGCTGGGGGCCGTCCCTCTTCTGGGGTAGGGACTGACCAGGCTGGGAGTGCCTCCGAACACGGAAACACTGAGGGGTTTCCCCTGAGACGCTGCCCACGAGGGGGAAACGATGGGGCCTTCTTTACAAAAGCAGCCGAGGCCCAGGGCTTCGCCTGGGCGGCAGGGCGGTCACTCTGTGCAGAGCCCAGCCCCAGAGCCTCGGGCTCACAGGACCCACAGGCATGCAGAGGCTCTCTGTGCGCAGGGGAACCTTACTGCCAACAAAATCTTCCGAGGAGGCAGTGTATGAAACAGAAAAAAAAAGTTGCCTTTTAGTGCATACATTATTTTATAGGGTTAAATTTATTAAACTAATTATAAGTAGTCAGTAAGAACAGTGAGGCTCTTGCGACAGACACAGACGTTCTAAGCGGGAGGCGTGGGCAGCGCCTACTGACTAGCTGCTGCTGATGCCTCACCTACCTGTTATTTGGTGGCACATTATTAAGAAAAGTCTGGATTCATACAGATCAACTACTATAAATTCCAAAAGTTAAAACATCTTGCTTTTCAATTTCAGGCTATTTTAAAATTAGAGAGGGCAGGAGATTAATTTTGGAATCAACGTTAAAGCAGACTAACCTAGCAGCTGAAGTTAAAACTTTGGTGATTTCGCGGCCGGCCCGTGGCCCAGTGGTTAAGTTCATGCTCTGCTCTGGCAGCCCGGTTGGCCAGGTTGGGTTCTGGGCATGGACCTACACACGGCTCATCAAGCCATGCTGTGGTGGTGTCCCACATAGCAGAACTAGAATGACGTACAACTAGAATATACAACTACGTACTGGGGCTTTGGAGAGAAAGAAAAAGATTGGCAACAGATGTTAGCTCAGGGCCAATCTTCCTCACCAAAAAAAATACCTTTGGTGATTTCCAATGATTTGTATGTTGGCTGTTCTATCTTTGAATATATTTTCTCAATTTTCAGTTTCAGAAATGGTTAAGAAGTTATACTTAGAAAGTGAAGGTGATCCTTGTAGAACCCTTGACATCAGCCCAGGGCAGACCCTAGTGTTCTGAGGAGCACGCACTGGCCCCAGCAAGGCAGAGACACCCCTTATTTGGGACTCTGTGGGTACTGCTGGGCTGTTCATTACCAACTTCTTGCAGATTTCAGAACACTCACCAATGAAACCATGGCTGGGCACCACTGCACCTGGTGGTTAAGAAGGTGGGTCTTGTCCCAGACGTGGGTCTAAGTATGAACACGGCCACTTTATGGTGCTGTGGATCATTATTCTTCACCCTTGGCTTCCTCATCTGTAGGATGGAGACAGTGCCACGTAACCACTGTGATTCCTGAGGCTTAGATGAGACGATGGATTTAAAGCTCTTAGCCCGGGCTTTGGCATTTAGAAAGTACTTACTAAGGGGCAAGGGGAACAACCATTTTGGGTGGCTGCTCTGAGGTGAGCACTGTGCATGCCGCTGGGTTCTGTATGGATTCAAGGATGACGGGTGCACTGGGGGCTCTCCTGTATCCATCTCCCACGTCCCCCAAGCTCCAGCTTCATATGCACAGCTTGTACTGGATTTGGATGTCTAGTAGCAGCTCAAACTCAGGAATAAAAGGAGTTCATGGCCCCTTGGCCCTCCCAAACCCTGTGTACCCCTGACTATATTATTCTCCTGGTTAATGACCTTAAAATAATATCCACTTTCATTACCAGGCCTATGACCTTGGTCTCAATGTGAGATCCACAGACTAGCAGCCTGGGCGTCTCTCCTGGAGCTTGTTAGAAATGCAGACACTCTTGCCCCCCTAGAATCAGAAGCTGCATTTTAACAAGATCCCTGACAATTCCCTTGCACAAGGAATTTGATGCACTGAGCCCACCTTCCGCTCTGACTCCTTGGGGGTCACTCTGCTCTGGGCACATGAGGCCGAGCATTATGAAAGCCTAGACCAGCTGCCCCTCATTCTGGGTTCCCTCCTGTGGGTGAAGGGTGGTCTCCGAGTTTGCTAAATGTCTGGCTGCTCTGATGTTTGATTTAGGACCCAAGAGCTGGTCCTGAGCTCAGATCTGGGTGGACACGCCTCCTATTCCAGTTGACTCTTTCCAGGTGATCCTTCAGACTCATGGGTGGGACTCCTCTTGTAGACGATCCCTAAGGGCTCCCGAGCCTCTCTCTCTCAGCTCACTTCTGGGCCTCGGTCCAACCTGAACCACTTGTCTGACATGAGTACGGACAGACAGACACACGTTTGGGCTGTGTTTTGGTGTTCGATGGTGGCTGGAATGGGATTTCTAGGTCACTCGGGGGTCAGCAATGTCACTCCCAGAGGCCACTGGAAAGCAGCTTGAGTACATGAAGAGCTGCCTGGAGGCCCGGGGTCAGTGGGGAGACAGCATCATTGGTGACATTTTTCCCCCTGGAGTAGGGAGTGACCTCCCTTCTGTCCCGGCCCAGGGAGTCGCTGCCACTGAAAAGGACAGGAGTTACTCACCTCCACAGAGAACAGTGATGAACATTTCTGAGAAGGTTGTACCAGCCAGAGAAAAAAAAACCAGCAGGGGGCAGCAGAGCCCTTCTTCTCACCCCTTGCCCACTAGCGAGGACTCAGCTAGGGACTTTGGCCCCTGTGGCCGCTTGCCCCTCCCTCTGTGGCCAGGAGCTCTGAACTGTAGGATCTTACAGGTAGAAGAGACCTTGGAGACTCACACCCCTTATGGCAGTGGCAGCTTCTGGCAGGGGGAGAGTCTCCCCAGAGAGTTTCCTCCTGAAGCATATGAGGCACGACAGGGAGTGGCCATGCTGACAGACCCAATGAACGGCAGGCTGAGGCTTCCTCCTCCAGGCCCTGTGCCTGCAGGACAGCTCCACAGAGGCGACTGAATGCATTTGACCAAGTTGACAAGCTATCAGAATCCAGGCGTGGCTCGATCTGGTCGCTGTGATGGCTGAGTGCCTTGCCTTAACACTGGCCATCGGAAGAGGCTGGACATGGTCCTGTGGGCTGGCCTGGCAGCCTCAGCGCTGGCCTGGCTGTAGGCCTAGGAGCACTAGACTTTGCATGCTCTTCTCTCTCATCTCTCTCTCTTTCCAGCCACCTAAGCAGCCTGAAATGCTCTCCCTTCTCCCTACCTCTTCCCAATCATCCATGTTTCCCACTCTGGAAGGCTTGGTCAAGTCCTAGCCCCTCCTTGAAGTGGTCCCAAGCTCCAGCCCTAGAGCCATCTCCCTCACCTCCAAGTGCCTTCCTCCGCTCCAGTGTGCCCACCAGGTTGGCGCTCAGTTCTATGCTGTTTTCTTCTGCAGTTTCCCGTGTGCTGTTGTGGCCCCGACGTGATGGTGTGATTTCAGGGTTAGTGTCTGTATCCACGTGGCCAGTTAAATTCATGAATCATTTCTGGGTCATGATACCCCCTGTATGTGGGAAGCAACGTGCTGAATGGGGTGTGTGTGTGTCATACTTTCTGCCTTTAGGAAACTTATAGTCTAGAAGGGAAGATAAAACATGGCACAAACCACTATAGTAGGAATAAGACAAATGGTAGAGACAAGACGGCATGAGGATTGACAGAAGGAGAGATAGGGGAGGGGTCAGGAAGAGCTTCGTGGAGCGAGTAGCCTCCGGGGTAGGTCCTAGAGGGTGAAGCGAGTTTCAGCTGGCGTGACAGGAGAAAGGGAGGAGGGCCTTCGGAGGAGAGAACCGCTTGAGCACAGGCCCTGAGGGCAGAGGGCTCTCCCCTGGAGGCAGAGAGGCTCCTGTGGTACTGGAGGCCCTCAGAGCAGTGCAGGAGGCTGGCCCAGGGTACCGCCTGCCTCTCTGTCCTCCAAGAGATCACCAGAGCCAGCAAGGGGACATGGCCCAGTGATGGAAGATAGGGCTGGAAGCTGCAGCTGCACCTAGGTTCTCATGGTCCCTACCCCAAGCACATCTCACCCCTGAAGCCAGGTGCCCCAAGTGAGGTTTTGGGGGACCACAGCATCCAATGGCCAGTGCCCTGATGAGAGGATTGAGGGATGGACTCAGCGATGGGAACACACGTTGATATTCTCAACCTGTGTGACTTTATTTTCCCTCACCCCAAAGGATCACAGATAGCAATCAGCACAAGCCGAGGTCCAGGCTCTGAAAGAAACCTGGGTGTTACCAGATAGGAGCATGCCATAACCGAGCTCACATTCCCAGCCAGGGCGGCCCCTGCGACGCCCACGTCTTCCTGCCTGGAGTGCGCAGAGTAACCTGGCCATGTTCTTTGTGGAGAAGGCACTGCCACAGATGACCGCCGCAGCACCCTGGGTGACTCAGCGTCTCCCCAGGCTGGGCTGGCTCCATCCTGCACACGTGCTGCCCTCTGCCACCTGGAGGAGCAGGGACAGCTCCCAGTCCAGGCCTTCGATCCTCTGAGCCAGGCAGGCTCTCCTCACCGCCAGGATCAGGGCCTGCTCGCTCTTCAGGGCCCAGGTTCCCACACTCTTTCTGTCTGGGCCGCCTGCCTCTGCTGGGTTAGGTCTGTCTTCCTGCTCTGCATGAGGGAAGATGCTGGGAACCACCTGAAAAGGACACAAAAGGAAAGCGGAGATGTGAGCCCTGAGAGTTCTGAGCTCTCTCTGCCCTGAACCCGCCGTGTGACCTGGCCATGACCTTGTCACCCTGGCAGTCTCTAGGCAACGACACTCATCCCAACTCTTGGGAAGATTACCTCCGGGGACTGACCCCGTGACTGATTAATGAAGACATTGTGTCCCCTGAGTTCATGTTGCCACATTAATGCACAACAACGACTAATTACGTCATTACACAATCGTCGTGTTTAATAGTTTGGAACATTTATTGAATAATTAAATCTTGTGGCATTCTATAGCCCCTCAGCTCATCCTGTTTTTTTCCTTCCTTCATACCAGGGATATTTATATAATGTCTCTTTAAGCATGAAGTTTTCCTGTTACTTTATCCTCACCAAAATCACTATCTTCTGTGCCCCTCAATACATCAGATGATACACCCTGCACCTGGTCACCCCACAGTGGCCCTGGCGTCACAGCTGCCTGTCTGGGGGCGGGGAGCTGCTTCCAGAGGAACTGACCCCACAGCTTAGTGTGCCCTCTATGGAAGGAGTCTGGATGAAGCTCAGCGAATGTATGATGAACATGTTGAGAAGAGAACACAATGGGAGGCTGGCCTCTGCCTTTGGGTTTCACAGGGAGGACCGACCTTGGGGGTTCAAGGATCATGGGTTTCAGGGACCCTTTATGCCTTAGGAAACACTGTTTCTGCAGCCCCCCGGCTAGGGCATTTGTGCGTCTCATGGCTGTTACATGGCCCCGCCATACCCGGTTTGCATACAAGATAATTTTTCCTGCAGTTCTTTGAGAGTGACAAAGAAAAATGGCAAGTAATAGGATATATTGGAGTATATGAGGAAGCCATTTTGTGTAAACCTAATTCGGCCTCACCTTGTCTTTCCAAAAGGGCCTGACCAAGGCCGTTGAGCATGCATTGTATGTCTGCATTAGATATTCCCTGTGGCAAGAGCAAAGGCCCTTGAGATAAAGGTGCAACTTCCCTCCCCCTCCCAACGTTGGCATTTCTTTAAGGATTAAGCATCTTTCCGCTCACCTGTGACCACCCAGCTCAAGACAATAGACTTGCCTCCTGCTACGCCCGCCCTCCGAGAGAGCAGACCCACTACCTGCTGTGTCCATCAAGTGCTGTGCTGACAGGGCAATCTTGTGACTATTGTGGGAGGGACATTTCAATCATATGTGAAACAGCCTGTTTGGGGGTATATAGCCACTCTGTATACCTCACTTCTTTGGTGCCCTTTCTTCCTTCGGGAAGAAAGGCCCCGGGCCATGGTCCTCAGATTTCAGCTCAGAATAAACTCACCCAAATTTTCATTTATAGATTGGTTATGGATTATTTTTGTTGACAAGAGCATGGGTGCCTTTATTGTCATTTAGTCTTAAAAGAAAGGTCAGTTGACTAAGAAGAACTGATTTTTCCAGACCTCCCAACATCAAGGCCCAGGCACACAAGATGTTCTCATGGAATTCTCTGAACTCAGGGAGCATCGCAGCTCTCCCCATCACCAGCCCCTCAGGGCCCCACTCCCAGGGTCACTGCGGCAGGTGGCCCAGGTCACTGTGGCAGCTCTCCCTGGTCATGAAGAGGGGATCCTTGGTAACACAGGTGTCCCGGCACAGATGTCTGCTCCAGGAAGCTGGTGAGAGGAGGTGCCCACCCTGCCCTCCACCATCCAGAGTGTTGTCCATTTTGAGCAGCTCAGGAAGGCAGGGATGAGGCTGGGACAAGGGAGGCCCTGGGCTTGGGCAAAAGTCAAGGGGGTGCCAAGAACTCAGGTCAAAAGAAATGGTGTTTTAATGCAGTATTTAAAAAATCAAACCGGCAAAACTAAGGCCTGCAAGCTGGCCGCCTGCTTTAGTAAATAACATTTTACTGAGCTCATGAAGACACAACTGAATGATCACTTCTATCCCTTGTTTATTCCCCTCCAACCTTCCCTATGTCGACACCTTCAGAAGCCTGAGTTAGGACGGGGGACAATCTAGATGAATGATGCATCTCCTGGAAAACTCCTTGTTCCAGAACCATGCGCTACTATTTATGCTGCATCTGAATAGCTATTTTTATTGCTCCCTTTTCACGCCCTTCCTCAATCTTTCCCAGCCATTCTTTTACTAATTGAGTGTGTTTCCCTGTCTCTGGATCCATTTGCCAAACCAAACAAGCAAAGCTGGACTTTGGCCGGTGGGCTTTCTGGTCAGAGCTGGTTGTTCTAATCCCAACCCTTCTATGGAAGGGGCTGAGACTCCGTGAGCCCCACACCGTGAGCCCCAGCTCTCTGTGGACTCCGCGGGAGCTGAGATGGTGCTCTGCTGGGCTTACCGCAAATGTACTGTGTTTCCTTGGGGGCAGGTGGTCTGGCTGGTGCTCTTCTTTCTGGAGCTCTAGGGCTTGAGCAGTGAGCTGGAAGAACTCTTTATTCAGTTCGTCCAAGATGTCTTCCACCTGCCATATCTTTCTCTAGAAACAAGGGACATAGAGTCTTCATTACTTTTACTTTTATTCCAATTTCATTAAAAATCCATTGAGCTCCTCTCCCAGACAGTGGGATCAGCATTGGGTAAGAGCTGAAGTCAGGTCTGCTCTGAAGGAGCTCAGAGCCTAAAGACAGGTAAACCCAGACCTACATTCCAGCATAGTAAAGGCTTTGTAGAGGAATGCACAGGGGCTACAGGAACAAAAAGCAGGACATCTAACCCAGGTAGGTGTGGTAAGGGAGAGCTTTCTGGAAGAGAGGACATCTCAACTGATTTTAATGATGAATAGGAATTAGCTGGGTGGACAATGGGAGAAGGGCATGCCAGGTAAAGGGAACAGCATGTATGAAAACACAAAGATATGAAAGAGCATAAGGAACATTTCTTCACCTGTCAGTCAGCCCATCGATCTATCCATCCATCCTCCCATCCATCCATCCATCCATCCACTTACATGAGACAGCACAGAGAACATTTGTCCATCTGTTGGTCCATCTATCCATCTATCCATCCATCCATTTACTCATATGAGAGAGGACAGGGAACATTCCTCCAGCTGTCAGTCCATCCATCCATCCATTCACTCACATGAGAGCGCACAGGGAAAATTCATCCATCTGTCAGTCTGTCCATCCACTCATCCCTCCATCCACTGATAAGTAAGGAATGATTTATTGAGCACCCAGTATGTGTGAAGCCAATGGTCAGTTCTGGAACTCCATTAGTGAACTTCCATGGGGTTTACAGTCTGTCAAGAGTGGCAGACATAAGATAAGGACTTATGAATGATGAGTGTTACCGGAGGGGATGTTCAGCTTGTTGTGGGAAGTAGACAAATTTCAGTTTGGTGGCAGCATAGAATTTGTTTGGAAAAGTGGAAGGAGATGATGCTGTAGAAATGGAGGTAGGAGCTGGGCTTGGCAGGCCATGAGGGGCCTGGCATGCTAGTCTCAGCTACAGTGGCAGAGACTTTTGTTTGCAATTTGTAATTTTTGGGGGGATGTTTTTAATTTTTAAAATTTTTAAATTTGAGTTCATAATAGTTTACATCACTGTGAAATTTCAGTTGTACATTATTTCTTGTCCATCACCACTTAAGTGCTCCCCTTCACCTGCTGTGCCCACTCCCCAACCCCCTTCCCCTAGTAAACACTGAACTGTTTTCTTTGTCCATGAGTTTATCTTCCACATACGAGTGAAATCATGTGGTGTTCGTCTTTCTCAGTCTGGCTTATTTCACTTAGCATAATTCCCTCCAGGTCCATCCATGTGTTGCAAATGGGATGATTTTTGTCTTTTTTTATGGCTGAGTAGTGTTCCATTGTATATATAAACCACATCTTCTTCATCCAATCATCAGTTGATGGGCGCTTGGATTGCTTCCATGTCTTGGCTATTGTGAATAGGGCTGCAATGAACATAGGGGTGCATATGTTACTTTGCATTGTTGATTTTGAGTTTTTTGGGTAGATACCCAGTAGTGGGATAGCTGGGTCATATGGTATTTCTATTTTTAGTTTTTCGAGGAATCTCCATATTGTTTTCCCTGGTGGCTGCACCAGTTTGCATTCCCACCAGTAGTGTACGAGGGTTTCCTTTTCTCTACAACCTCTCCAACATTTGTCATTTTTAGTCTTAGTGATTACAGCCATTTTACTGTTAGGTGGTATCTTAGTGTAGTTTTGATTTGTATTTCCCTGATGATTAGTGATGTTGAACATCTTTTCATGTGTTTATTTGCCATCTGTACATCTTCTTTGGAAAAATGTCTATTCATCTCCTCTGCCCAGTTTTTTTTTATCAGGCTGTTTCAGTTTTTGTTGTTCAGATGTGTGAGTTCCTTATATATTATGGAGATTAACCCCTTATCAGATACATGATTTGCAAATGTTTTCTCCCAATTGGTGTGTTGTCTCTTTGTTTTGATCCTAGTTTCTTTTGCCTTGCAGAAGCTCTTTAGTCTGATGAAATCCCACTTGTTTATTTTTTCTTTTGTTTCCCTTGTCTGAGAAGACATGGTATTCAAAAAGATGCTTTTAAGTTCGATGTCAAAGAGTGTTCTACCTATATTATCTTCCAGGAGTTTTATGGTTTCAGGACTTATCTTCAAGTCTTTGATCCATTTTGAGTTTATTTTTGTGTATCGTGTGAGACAATGGTCTACCTTCATTCATTGGCATGTGGCTGTCCAGTTTTCCTGACACCATTCACTGAAGAGACTGTCTTTTCTCCATTGTATGTTCTTGGCACCTTTGTCGAAGATTAGCTGTCCATAGACGTGCGGGTTTATTTCTGGGCTTTCAGTTCTGTTCCATTGATTTGTGTGTCTGTTTTCATACCAGTACCATGCTGTTTTGATCATTATGGCTTTGTAGTACATTTTGAAGTCAGGGATTGTGAGGCCTCCAACTTCGTTCTTTTTTTTTTCTTAGCAATTCAGGGTCTTTGGTTGCCCTATATGAATTTTAGGATTCTTTGTTCTATTTCCGTGAAGAATGTCATTGGGATTCTGATTGGGATTGCACTGAATCTGTAGATTACTTTGGGTAGGATGGACATTTTAACTATGTTTATTCTTCCAATCCATGTGCATGGAATCTCTTTCCATCTCTTTATGTCGTTATCTATTTCTTTCAATAACGTCTTATAATTTTCATTGTATAAATCCTTCACCTCCTTGGTTATATTTATTCCTAGGTGCTTTATTCTTTTTGTTGCAATTGTAAAGGGAGTTGTAGTCTTGAGTTCTCTTTCCATAAGTTCGTTATTAGAGTGCAGAAATGCAACTGATTTTTGTAAGTTGATTTTGTACCCCACAAATTTACTGTAGTTGTTAATTATTTCTAATAGTTTCTGATGGATTCATTAGGGTTTTCTATATATAAGATCATGTCATCTGCAAACAGCGAGAGTTTCATTTCTTCACTCCCTATTTGGATTCCTTTTATTCCTTTCTCTTGCCTAATTGCTCTGGCCAAAACCTCCAGCACTCTGTTGAATGAGTGGTGATAGTGGGCATCCTTGTCTTGTTCCTGTTCTCAGAGGGATTGCGTTCAGCTTTTTCCCATTGAGTATGATGTTGGCTGTGGGTTTGTCATGCCTTTATTATGTTGAGGTAATTTCCTTCTATCCTCATTTTGTTAAGAATTTTTTATCATAAATGGCTGTTGTAGCTTGTCAAATGCTTTCTCTCCATCTGTTGAGATGATCATGTGGTTTTTAGTCATCATTTTGTTGATGTGATATATCACATTGATCGATTTGCAGATGTTGAACCATCCCTGTGTCCGTAGAATAAATCCCACTTGATCATGATGTATGATCTTTTTGATGTATTGCTGTATTCAGGCTGCCAATATTTTGTTAAGGATTTTTGCTTCTATGTTCATCAGTGATGTTGGCCTGTAATCTTCCTTTTTTGTGTTGTCCTTGTCAGGCTTTGGTATCAGTGATGTTGGCCTCGTAGAATGTGTTAGGAAGTGTTCCATCTTCCCTGATTTTTTGGAATAGCTTGAGAAGGATAGGTATTAAATCCTCTCTGAAAGTTTGGTAGAATTCCCCAGGGAAGCCATCTGGTCCTGGGCTTTTATTCTTTGGGATGCTTTTGATTACTGTTTCAGTCTCTTTACTTGTGATTGGTTGGTCTATTCGCTTTGTCTGTTTCTTCTTGATTCAGCTTTGGGAGGTTGTATGAGTCTATGAATTTATGCATTTCCTCTAGATTCTCCATTTTGTTAACATATAGTTTTTTGTAGTATTTTCTTATAATCCATTATATTTCTGTGGTATCTGTTGTTATTTCTCCTCTTTCACTTCTAATTTTATTTATCTGAGCTTTCTCTCATTTTTTCTTTGTAAGTGTGGCTAAGGGTTTGTCAATTTTATTTACCTTCTCAAAGAAACAGCTCTTTATTTCATCGATCCTTTCTACTGACTTTTTTGTTTCAATAGCATTTATTTCTGCTCTGATTTTTACTATTTCTCTTCTTCTCTTGAATTTGGGCTTTGTTTGTTCTTCTTTTTCTAATTCACTTAGGTGTAGTTTGAGATTGCTTATTTGGGATTTTTCTTGTTTGTTAAAGTGAGCCTATAGTGTGATGAATTTTCCTCTTAATATGGCTTTTGCTGCATCCCATATGAGTTGGCATGGTATATTTTCATTTGTCTCCAGACATTTTTTGATTTCTCCTTTAATTTCTTCAATTATCCATTGCTTATTCAATAGCATGTTGTTTAGTCTCCACGTCTTTGTCCCTATGTCAGCATTTTCCTTGTAATTGATTTCTATCTTTATAGCATTGTGATCAGAAAAGATGCTTGTTATTATTTCAATCTTCTTAAATTTATTGAGGCTTTCCTTATTTCTCAACATATAGTCTATCCTTGAGAATGTTCTGTGCACACTTGAGAAGAATGTGTATTCTGCTGTTTTTGGGTGGAGTGTCCTATATATGTCTATTAAGTCCAACTGGTCTAGCTCTTCATTTAATTCCACTGTTTCCTTGTTGATTTTCTGTCTGGATGATCTATCCATTGATGTCAGTGTAGTGTTGAGATTCCCTACTATTATTGTGTTATTATTAATATCTTCTTTTAGGTTTGTTAATAGTTGCTTTATGTACTTTGGTGCTCCTGTGTTGGGTACATAGATATTTACGTGTTATTTCTTCTTGATGGAGTGTCCCTTTGATCATTATATACTGCCCCTCTTTGTCTCTCTTTATCTGTCTTATCTTGAAGTCTACTTTGTCTGATATAAGGATGGCAACACCTGCTTTCTTTTGTCATTAGCTTGAAGTATCATCTTCCATCCCTTCACTCTGAGCCTGTGTTTGTCATAGGAGCTGAGATGTGTTTCTTGGAGGCAGCATATTGTTGGGTCTTGTTCTTTAATCCATCTCGCCACTCTGTGTCTTTTTATTGGAGAATTCAACGCATTTACATTTAGTGAGATTATCAATATACGAGGGCTTAGTGCTGTCA